AAAAAAAAAAAAAAAAAAAAAAAAAAAGAATATGCTGCTATGCTTAATTATGTTAATAAACATATTTTATCACTTAAAAAATAATGACTCACCCAGGAGTGGCAAGCACAAGATTTACGGTAGTACAACCCGTGTTTAGTAAGGTCCAAATGAACAGCAAAATCAGGGGCCTCATTCCTTCTCAGCAAACACTTACCCGATAGCCTTCTCTGTGAATCCTCACCTACCTCTTGCACTGTGCTCAAGAACCAAGGTACATGGGCACTATTCGGAACAGATGACTCCAGACCCCCAAATGTTCCACTGAACCAGCTCTAGATCTACAACTGTAGCACTCTCAACCAATTTATTCAGCTGAAACCCTCAGCTGATTTATTCTACTTGAACTAACCTTGGCATTCACTGTCCATCTCTCCTATGCACAGAACAAGCCTGCCAGTCCATGATGAGGCTACCCTTGGGCCAGGTGACTGGCAGTGGCTAGTGACTTCATCCCTGATGACCTCACCCTCCCTGTGATGTGAATGTGGCAAATGGGTGGGTATTAGCAACACTTTTTTTTTCATTCACTCATTCAACCAATGTTTATTAAGCACTTACTGCAGGCCAAGCACTGAGCTAGGTGCTTGAGATACAATAGTGAACAAAATAAATAAGACGCCCACACTCATAAAGCCGCAAATTTAAGGCAGAGCTAAGACTTTAAGCTTCCAGTTTTCATTTCATTCACATGGCTCAAAGCCTCCATCCTCTGACATAGGTATTCCTTGCAAGTACAAATAACTCAAGACACAGCCATTATAGGAAAAAGCACTATATAGTATAACATTTTATACTAACTATAGTATTATACGTTGACATGGCTACTTAAAGAAAAAGAATCCTCAAAAGCTAAATGTCACTAACTTAAGAATCACAGGACAATCCCTGAATGTTATCCCATATCTCTAAGAACGAAGGCCGTGAAGAAGTTGGAACCTGATGTGTGCTGGGCTCAAGGGAGTGCTCGCCAGGATGAAAATGATATCCTGTAAAGTACATTTGCTCCAGTAAGTCAGTTCAAAATACAGACGCTTCTGATCAACACCAACCTTCTGAAAAGCCCTCATTTCTTTTTAGAACCCTCAGATGCCCCCTTCTGCCCATCTCTGCCCCCAACCTACACTGTGTTTAACCCAAGCCAGGAGATTTTATTAGATGACATTCCAGTAAATATCAGAGGGCAAACAAAGCACTACAGAGAAAATCTGGCAAGATGTTATTTCGCCTATGTTTTTTTCTCGGTCCTTGCCTAGCATAGATTTCAATCAACCAGTCTTAGTAACCTACCTGAAAAGTAGCTTAAAAAAAATGGTAAGAAAGTTCATATGGGTTACTTTATTTATAGAATGCATCCTTAATCTGAACAGCTAAGTTAAGTTTCCAGCTACATTATAAGAAATACCAGTGGAATTCTAATACAGGAAGCCTGTAGCCAATGGGCTCTAAAGAAATTTATGGACCCAGGGCACAATTAATCCACAGCAGGGCACCGCAAGAGATGCCAAACCTTCACCAGTCATAGATGCTCTTCGAATGTGCTTGCCTTCTCCCTCCCCAATCTCTCCCCCCCGTAGGCAAAATGAAGGCAATGCCCAAGATCCCCCAGCACTCCCCCTGCTGATGGCAACACTGGAGTTTTTGTCTCAGGGTCGGTCGTTCAGAGGTTTAAATGAGATCACATATGGAAAAGGCCATTGACGCCCCTCAAGGGAATCTCCTCGCCACCCCGAGATGCCTAGTGTTCACTTCCGTGCAGTGTAGCTAAATCGTTACAAAGTTTTATCCTGCAAAGTTTTTCATTTTTGGGGCTGCAGCTTCTCAGCATTTCAACTCCTCAGCAACAGCTCACAGGCCTCTCGCCCGCCCTCACCTTCAGCGGACCAAAGAAGGCCTGAGACCTGCAGAACAAGCAAGCTGGGGGAGGAATTTCACACTCCAACAGGTCGCCTAGTCCGCTGTCGGCGAGGGACCGTCGGGCCCCGGGGCCAGCCCTGCAGCGAGCCGCAGCCACCTCACCAAAGGCCAGCCCCGCGGCGCAGTCAGGGGCGCAGGCCACGCCCCCGCGCAGTCGGCGCGCCGACCCCGCGAGCTGGCGCGGCCCCGACGCTGCGCTTCCGCAGGCCGCCGGGCCCGCGACCGCCGCCCCCGCCCCCGCCGCCGCCGCCGGCCCCGCCTCTCGTCAGCCCGAGTTCGACACGAACGCCGGGGCCTCTCGCCCCGCGCCCGCAGAATTCCGGGCGCTGCCGCCGCCGCTCAGGGACGGTCGGGGAGGGCCGGGCAGGGGCTGTGGGGCCGAGGTGTACTCTCGGCTCCAGCGGGCCGGGCCTTGGCTGCCGAGTGAGCAGGGCCACCTCCAGACACCCGCCTGCCGGGGTCCCACCGTCCTGGCCGCGGAGGCCGATCGTCTCGTCCTTTAGCCGAAACCTTCCCTCCCTCTCAGTCCCCTCGGTGCTTACCTCCCGACTCCGCTCCCCACAGGCTGCGCTTCAGCTCCAGCTCGGGTTCCGGGGCCCCGGATCAGAAAGACTCGCTCACAGCTGCGCTCCGCGGCGCAACCGAACTGCGGGCCCCGCCTTCGCGGCGTCCGGACCAACAGATGGGCGGTGCCGCAGTGCCGTTGGGTTTCCATTGGACAGGGCGGCCAGGGTGGGCGGTGCCCCGGGCAGACGGTCGCTCGCAGGGGTAGTCTTCAACCCGGTTTCCTCCCCTAGAGCCTGTCCGGCTGAGACCTCTTGGAGGTTTCGGTGTTTTCCGTCTCAACTGGGGCCTGTCTCTCTGTCCACCCCTCTGTCCAGTCCTGGTGCCCCCGATGATTCTGCTGGGCGACGGGAAGGCCTTCCCCCTCTTCTTGAAGGCGCCATGACAGTTCTAGTCCGACTCAAAGACAAAAGGAGCGAAAGACGTAGCCTCAATCTGAGAGGAGCGCCCACCCACTTTCAGTATTTGGGGGTGAGACTGCGCAGAACACCAATTCTTCAGAAAACTTTAAAAAAATTACTGGGCACATTAACACTGAAAATGAATAGTTAACGCTTCGTAATTGGATAGTACTGATGTTAGCCAAAACTTTTCAAGAGGTTTTCACAGATATCTTTTGATCCTCTTAAGAAATTGAATTTTTCATTCAGTAATAGTTGCCAAATGGAAAAATACTGAATCAGAGGCATTAAGCTATTCACCGAAAGTTGGTAAGAACTATATCTAGAATCCGAAACAGTTAAGATTTATCAAAGAAGACTTCCTTGAAAAGATGTTTGGAAAGAATTTAGGTTGACTGCGAGGAGGTGAAAAGAAAAAATGATAGATTGTGGGTGAGCCCATTGATCTTCGAAAACCAAACCAGGAGCCCAAAAGAAGTTAACCCTGCTCCTAGACACGTATTGTGGAGGGAGGAGGATGAATCAATCATCAGTACTTGGAAATGTCATAATCACCAAATCTCACTGTCCTTAAAAGGAATCTCTAATCCTATTTAACTGATAGAAGGCTATCTGGCAAAAATTCCCTCATTTTCCATCTCTTCACCTTAAAATTTAAATCAAAATTTTATCGTTCCTTGATTCTTTCACCTTTGAAAGAGAGGGCTCAAACACTCTTTTAGAAATCTGGACCTTGTTTCGGATATTTTTAAAAGGCATTTGCCCACCAAATTTAGCATATAATTTCAGGGAGTTGAGGTTAAGAATCTTTGTTCTAATCTCAAGGAAAGGATGCTTCTCCTCCTGTCGAGATTAATCTGTTCACCAGGTAGACTCCAAAGCAACTGAACACCTGGTGCATGGTAAACATTCATTAAGTATCAGTTGATACTACTGTTACAGTTTCCCATTCTCTTCTGTCTGGTTCTTAGTATTATCAACCTTTACCTTTCAACTAGCTCCTTTCAAATCTGCACAGAGGACCCATTGGCATCTTCAAGTTCTCGTTTTGTTTTTAACCTTTCATTCATGGTTTTGTTTTTTGGGGGGGGGGGTCGGTTGGTTGAGGGTTTTCTTGTTTGTTTTTTTGGCTGCACCTCGTTCCCCACCCCGTGCCCCCTGCCCTGGAAGCATGGAGTCTTAACCACTGGATCTCCAGGGAAGTCCCTTTTCATTCATGTTGAAAATGTTCGGGTGGGCTTCCCTGGCAGTCTAGTGGTTAAGACTCTGCCCTTCCAATGCAGGGAGCGTGTATTCGAATCCTGGTGGGGGAAATAACATCCCACATGCTGCAGCAGTGCAGCCAAAAAATAAAAAAATAAAATGCTCAAATATTGCCTACATTTTCACCACATTTTTTTTCTGCTTTAAAAATCATACTTATTGTAACAAATCAAACTATTTCAAAAATAACATAGTATAATGTAACTTTATATAGTAGCTTGTATGTGCTATATTCCACTGTTTTAGTTGCCTTATGACATATTAATTCACTTAATCCTCACAACAATCCTACGAATATTGTGAATTAACAATTGCTATAGAAAGTGAAAATCTCTTACCTTATTCACCAGAATAAGACTTTGGTATATATTTCTCCATATTTATTTTTTCTATGTATATATTAATGTATGTGTATATAACTTAAAATAAAGGCAAGTGTATACCACATAATCTTTTTCGATTTACTCTTTTCACTTTTTTCCACAGCAGCACATACAGCACTACAATTTTTTAACTACTGTAGAGTATTCCATTATCCAAATGTGCCAATGTTTAATAACTACCAGGGAACTTTGAGGTTATTTCTAACATTATTTATTATAGATAAAGCTGTAATGAACATTCTGCTACATACACCTTTGCCTACTTGTGAAAATGATTTTACTCATTCTTAAAAGTTGATCATCTTTTTCTTATTGGCTTGTAAGAGCTCTTTGTATATTAGGAAAATCCCATTGTCTTCCCAATCTCCTACACTGTGAATCCCATCCTATCTCTATCTCTATTGAAACTTTACACTCAGTTTATTATAAACCTTTATTCCAAAAGCCCTTTCTCATTTAGCATTCTCCATGACCTCTTTAGCATTTGGGACCACTGAACAGCATGTTCTTAAAACTCCTCTGTTACTTTTCATAACACAAATTTATTTCATTTCTCGCTTAAGTCCTAATTTTTTCTCCTTTACGTTCTGTTCTTCCCTCCTTTTTTTTTTTTTTTTTTTTTGGCCGCACCACACTGCTTGTGAGATCTTAGTTCCCTGACCAGTAATCAAACCCAAGCGAGGCCCTGGCAGTGAGAGTGCCGAGTCCTAACCACTGGACAGCCAGGAAATTTCCCCCTCCTAACTATTAATGTGCCTGCCAATGTGTCCAAAGTTATATTCTTTGTTCTCTCTACACCATCCTTTAGAAAATATGTCCATTGATGAGCTTCCAATACATCACCAGGATGACAGTTATATTTATCTCTAGCACTTCTGCCCAAGCTCCAAGATAATATTGGATGCTCCACTCTCACTTGAAACCTAATTTGCCTAAAGATTTTCATTTCAGGTTAGTAATCCACCTCGAGAACTAATTTATTGGGAATAGAAGCCAGGTAGCTGGGTGACAGAGTGGGAGGGAAACTGTTTGTATGCCCGTTTATGCCTTTTGTACTTTGTGCCACATGTACGTATTTTTTATTCCAAAAAGAAACAATATTTAACAAAGAAACAATTTATTAAATAATTGTAGAATAAAGAAAGGCAATGCTTTTAGAATACCCATATATATATGACTAATTTCTAAGCTTCCCAAGTGACCTGCTGACGTCATCTCCCAAGTGGACTGTAGCTTGGATTGTGACATGCTGGTTGCACAACTCTATACATTTACTAAAAATCATTGAATTAACAGTGAGTGAATCTTATGATGTGAAAATCATACCTCAATAAAACTGTCCAGAATCTTTCAGATCTTGGTTTCCATAAATCAGGGCAATTAGAAAATCAGCTGGGTTTTTGCTCAAAGCTTTTCTTCCTCAGTGTGCGACTCACCAGTCACACCTCCAATCTGATCATTCTTCTAGGGATGTGATGTGGATTCTTTCTTCCAAAAGAGCCTCTTTTCAGAATGAAGACATAATCAAAGGAACAAAAATGTTCCTTTGCCTCAAGCTTGGCACTTACACTTCTATAGGACCTCAAACTAAGAGAAACCTAGATTTCGTGATACTTGTGAATCATCTGAGAGGTGCTTTAAAACATACACCTTCCCAGGACCCTACCTGAATCACCTGAATCTGAATCTGGGGGCCGGGGAGGACTTGAGTATCTGTATGCCTAAAATTCTGCCCAGGTGATGTTGATACAGGTAGCCTGGCTCATCATTAGGCTGAAGGGTGGTAACCATCATCATAGCTCATGCTTATTCCTGTCCAGACATCGCCTCATAACTTAGGCCTCTGAGCTTCATTGTTTAAGTTATGAAATGGGAACATGATTTGCCCTACACCTCTACGTCATGTCATAAGAAATTGAGTCAACTTCTAAAATAAACATGATAAATAGGGGCACTGGGAAATTAAGAAAAAAGCAGCTCATCTAAATTAAGAATTAGATTTATTAATTTTTAGATTATTAGATTTCCACAACTGTATTCAATTATGTTCAAATCGAATTTATTTATTATTTATTTTGCTCTGTGTTTTACTGGCATAGAGTTAATACCTATTTTATTTCACAGGGATGTTTTGAGTTTAAAATAATTATCAGGTCATTCCACAGCTTTTTCTGGGCTAAAGCCCCTTTTGTTTCTCTTCATTTACTGAATTTACCTTTGTTGTAGTAATAGGGAGAACTTTCCTAAATCTAAAATTATTTCCTGAAAAAACATAGATTCAGACTTTAAGGAAAGGCCTTTGGAGATCCCTTGTAGCATTAGTAGTCTAAGATTTCATTATTTCACAGCTCACAGCCAGGCTGGAATCAGAGAACAAAATTCAATTTAACTAAACAAATATTTATTGGCTAGTAAGAGTACGTGCTAGGTGCCATGCTAGGCAGACAAATCAATAAGACAAAGTTCCTGTCCTTAAAGAGCTCATATTTATTTAGGAAGATATCTGTGTAAACAAAAAAGTGCCAATACTTAACAAGTACAACAGAAGTATGTATAAAGTTCCATAGGCTGAATAGAGAAGGACCTGATTGACTTCACAGAAGAAAGATACAGGGGAAGCTGTCCTAGGCTGAATAATGGTCCCAAAGATACCCATGTCCTAATCCCTGGAATTTGTGAATATCACCTCATATGGCAAAAGGTATTTTACAGATGCGATTAAATTAAACATTTTGAGATGGAGATATTATCCTGGATTATTAGGATAGGCCCTAAATGTAATCACAAGTGCACATAAAAGAGGGAGGCAGAGGGAAATTTGATTACAGAAGAGAAAGAAATGTAACCACTGAAGCAAGAGATTGTCTTTATGCCCAGGAATGCAATCAGCCTCCAGTAGCTAGAAAAGGAAAGGAAATGGATTCTTCCCTAGAGCCCCTAGAAGGAACCAGGAATGCTGACACCTTAACTTTAAACCAGTGAAACCAGTTTCAGACATCTGGCCTCCAGAACTGTAAGAAAATAAACAGTTGTGGGGTTTTTTTTTTTTAATTAATTAATTAATTTATTTAT